CATACAGCAACTAGAAGGATGTGCAGCTATGACATACAACTATCTACTGGGGCTTTGGGGGGGGGTGAAATAAATAAATAAAATCTTTAAAAAAAAAAAAATGACAGGGACAAGGATGTGCTTGTCTGGAGAGTCGGTTCCACAGTGCTCTGAGTTCTCACAACAGCACCTGAGGGGACGTGAAAAGCCTAAGATGAGAAATACTGATGAGGTTCTCTGCCTGTTTTATCTGCAGACTGCCGCTGAATATGTAAAATCTCGACTCCCAGAGGCCCTTAAACAGCATCTTCAGGACTACGAGAAGGACAAAGAAAATAGTGTATTGTCTTACCAGACCATCCTTGAACAGCAGATTCTGTCAATTGACCGAGAAATGCTAGAAAAATTGACTGTATCCTATGATGAAGCAGGTATGTTTGTCTTTAATACACATGCAAACACATGTACATACATACACACAACTTTTTTCCCTGCAGAAATTTCTTTATAGACCTTGGTTAGATTTAGGCCCTTTTCTAAGGTAGCAGATGAAGGGCACACTGGATTCAAAGTTATATAACATGGATTAACAGTAAGTTTCTTCTCTGCAATTTTAGTATCAAAAATTTCATCGGGAGATTCCTAAAAATGGCCCTTAAATATCAAATCCCTTGTAAATTTTTGATCTTTTTTAAACGGAATTTTTCTGGCCTTTTATCAACCATGTACTCCTATTGATATAATCTTTTAAAGTGTCACTTCAATTTTGGATACCAGCTGAAAACTCTTACATCCAATAATCCAAGAACCGTTATTTGCTTCAAGTATTATCTTTTTAATTTCAAAGATTTTCTTTTCTACAGAGGTACTGTTTTTTTCTTGAAGTTTCAAACTCAACTTGACTTTCCTTTAGCTCCTCAGATGAATCCTAGCCCCTAATACCACACCAGAGACTTCGGTTCACTGCCTGCCGTAAGTTCATTCCATCCAAGGGAGCTTATTAATGAAGGCATGGACAGACCTCCTTGTAACACCATTTTTATTTGTGACATAGTCTGTCAGCCAACACTCAGTTTTAATAAAACCAGTGCAGTATTACTTGGAATTATTAAAATCCTTAATAAAATTACACTTAGGAGAAATACCCTGATTAAAATGGTCATACCTCCTCTCTCCCCAACCCCCCCAAAATAGAGAAAAAAGTACAGGAAAATAGATTTCTAATGGTCAGATGTTGGTAGTATTAATCCCTATTTCAATACCAGGAACTTCTGTTTTTCTTTCCACGAGGAAGTTGTTAGTTTGCGTCTTATTTTCTTCATTATGATGTAAGCAGTCTTGATGCTGATATTCTTAACATTTTACTTCAAGCTTAAATAGCAAACAGAAGAGCAAATTAAAAAAAATACAAAATGATTATGCTACGTATGCCTAACCACTAGTGCAGTATTTCTAGTTATTAAGCTGTTCCCATTTACGTTCCGCCCTCTGACCCTTGTACATCTCTCTCAGGCAGGATCCACATTCTAGCCTTGCCCAGGACATCTCTACTCCCTCTGATCCTCCTTTGCTTTATGAATTTTCCAGACATATTGGCTTTAGGCCTGTTGGGTGGTTAGTTATTTGGTCTCTGTGTTTGTCTTGTTTTTAACATTCTTGCCTTTGGAATTCACATTCATCTCTTCTCTCATCCCTCATGGAATAAAGTAAGGCTATGATCAGCCCAATCAAAATAGTATTTAAATATTCATAGAATTTTAGAGATCATAGAACTCATATAGTCCACCCACTTCCTGTCCCTATAACTACTTTATGGTGAGAGAACTGGACCCCACAGACTTGCCTGCAATAACACAGTTACTCAGTTGTGGAGCTGGGACTTCAGCCTCCTAATACCAGCCAGAGTGGGCTCCACCACATTAAAGCCAGTTCTCGCTCACTCTGGGCATGTGGTGAATGCATAGCAATATACTAGGCTGTATATTGGAAGAAAGAGGGAAGAGCATTCAAAAGGCAGGGAAAATCTGAGATGTGGAAAACATCACTTTTCCTTAAAGTCCAGCTGGGGAACTAAAACATCTATGTATGACTACGGGAGGAACATTTCTGAGGAATCAGGGAATAAATACACTCTGTAATATCTACAAGCTACTCGAGAGAAGCTGAGGGGATGTGGGGTGAAGGAAGAGTGCAAGTGGCTCAGGTTTTCAGTGGAATTCTTAGGGGAGGGTATCAGTTTAAACCCTGAAGGACGAATGCTGAACGTGGAGAGAAGACAGACACAGTCTGTGAGGATGAGGGGGAGGAGTGAACATCAGCCGCAGCCTCCCACCACTCCATTTTTCCTTCCTCAGGAGTAATTTTCCACTCACCTACACTGTGGTTGGGCAGGTACTAATCTGCAGAGGTACATTTGTACACGGCCTTCAGGGGCCAATCCTTTGCACCAAATTAATCTATCAATAACTGCAGCAAGAAACAGTGGGAATAACTACAGGATTGAGAGTTAGAGGATCTAAATTCCAGGTCTTTCCTGCAGCTTAATACTTGTGTGATCCTTAGGAAATTAATCTCTTAGAGCCTCTGTTTCTTCATCTATGAGGTTGGGCTAATAATATCCCACAGGGTTATTATGGTAATAAAATTTATCATGTTTGGAGAAGTCCTTAGAAATCATATTGCAAATGCTGCTCATGCTGAAAGAGAACAGATTTGGATCTTGTTTGTCCCTCAGACAAATTTAAAGACTCTTAGAATATTTTCTTGGCGTGTAGTGTTTGGGGAGGCAGAGGGAGATTTTAAAAACTGATCTTTAGAAGCTTTGACAGTCAAGCAACATCTATTTGTTAAATCACTCACTCTGGGCTCTGTTTGCCCTTGGTCATTCCTGCATGAGGTGACACATTTGGTGGGGGCTGTGTGTATATATGAATAAATGAATGTCACTGTGTGTTGTAAAATCAAAAGGTCACTGCCTCCTCCTCCATTACCCATATATTAATGATTTTATTAAAAGAAAGAGGAGAAAATATGAAAAGATATTGCTATTTAAAGGAAAAATATTTCATTGTAATACCAAGGAATTGGGATAGATAATTAGTAATAGTATCCAATACCTTCAGATATAAGACACTCATTTGCTTCAACTGGCTTAGCTTCTTTCTGTGCTATCTCAGTTTTGAGTTCCCCACATTGTTAATTCAGCTCTCCCAGTTTTAGAAGGTAGTTAGTGGTTAATTCGAAGATGTTCTGGTCTCTAGAAAGGTCAATTTGTCTTTAATGCTCATCCACTGATAAATCAGCCTGAGTGACTTAATGACAGTTACTACCATCTGTGGCTTCTAAATTTCTAAAAACCAATTAATGAAAAATATTTAGACACTTGTCTAAAAGGATTGGCTCAGAATCTTTCTCCGTCCCTTCTCTTTCTCACTTTCCTTCTCAGTATCCTCTCTTTCCCTTAAAGTATCTACAGACCTTAATGCTGTACTCATTCACAATTCAACTCTCTGGCAACCTGACATAGCTGAAATTCAGCAAAGAAATGGGAAGTAAGCAAAAACCACGTGCAACCATACCATGTCCCAGAATTTGTGGACAAGCCCATACAAAAGAGGCTTTAGAATCTCGCCTAGAATCTATATATTTTTATTTTATATTGTTCTGACCAGTTAGGTTGTATTTTCCAATGTGATATTTTCTTTTTTAAAATTCTTTTTTGACTTTAACAGTGTTATACTTTTATTGCAGAAATAAATAGAAATAAGTAGAATGGTATAATAAGAGAATAATAATTATCAATAATCCTACCATTGTAAACATTTTGGTATATTTCTCTCAGCATTTTTGAAATGTGGTTGATGTCTTGCAGTTTTATATTCTGCTTTTTTCACTTAACATTATTACATAAGCACTTCCTCATTTTATTAAAACCTCTTCATGTAACGATAATTTTAATGGCTGCATAATATTCTATTCTTTGAAAGTACTACTCACTAAACATTGTCCTGTGTTGTACATTTATGCATTTATGGTTTTTGTTTTTGCTGTTATGAATAATGCTGCAATGAATATGGCAGGCATTTGTCTGCATTTCATACCACTCTGGAGAATAGACTTTAGAAAACATGAGTCTAGAATTAGAATTAGGAGGTGGAGGAAGAGGATGATACTTGGAGCAGAGACACTGAGAGCAGCAAGGAATAAGAACAAAGAGTAAATCCATAGAAATCCATAAAAAACAGTTATCATATCTCCAACATTGCACTACACTCTGTCAAATCAGCATTTACAGACTCTGTATTACAGAGTTTACATCATTGATCTTCATAATGGTGACTTTGATTCACAGAGAAAAGGTTCAATAATATTAATTATATTCTGTATATAAAAATAGGAATTGTGTATAGGCACATGTGTGTGGTGATGGATTGTAATTAGTATTTGGGTGGTGAATATGAGAACATGATGTAATCCATGCAGAAATAGAAATATAATGATGTACACCTGAAATTTATACGTTATAAACCAATGTTACCACAGTAAACCAAAAAGAAAAAAAAGGAATTGTGTAAACCACTTTAGAAAGATTTTCATCCAAGTGGTTTATTTTTAAGTTTTGACTATTATAGGAATAAAGATGTTTTGTGGTATAATTGAAAGAGGTCTTGGAACCAAAAGACCCAGATTCTAATCCTAGCTCTGCTGCCAACCAGATATGTAACCTTGAGTAAGTCACCAAACCTCCCTAAACCCCATTTTCCTATAAATCAAAGGCATGAACAGAATCTCATAGATGTCTTCCATTTCTAAAACTGTGATTCTGGTGTCTTGACAATGGAAAACTCAGGTAACCATGGTTTCTGCAAGGTTGCATGTAACTTCATCTTGAACTTTCTGCTTGCTCTATTGCCTTTCTCCTCTCTCCTCACACAGCCCATGTAATTTGTACATAATATCTGACGAAAAGAAGACCATTACTCAGCCTTCCTGGCACCTGCACATGAGTATGCCCAGGGATACTTTTTTTGGTGGAATGGGGAGTGACACTGAATGAGTCAAGCAAAACTAGGTTTTGGAAGGAGAGGTTCTGAACCATCATTCCTGGATCCTTGTTAAGATAACTTAAGATATTTTTATTAGCCTTTATGAATGCTAAGCAAAATCCAGATAAGACGTAAGGTATGGTTTGCATTTGATCTCTTAATGTTTTTATTTAAATTGAGGTACAAAAGTTCATACCCATTTCAATAGACTGGGCTTAGCATAGAGAAATTTCCAGGAAAGTACTTGCATGAGGTGAGAAGAGATCAAAATAGCATTTCACACTGTCTCAGAGAGCATCATTAAGCTAAATATTCATTATTTGTCATAGTGGGCAAAAGTTGAAGAGTTGAAACAGCAGGAGAGGGAATCTTTCCTTGCATTATTT